CCCCAAAACCCCAAAACCCCAAAACCCCAAAACCCCTAATTTTTAGTGCTAAATTGAATTTATTATTCCTCTTCTTTCTCCTCGATCTTTTGCCTCTTATGAGGGTTATAATAAGCAACTTCTTCTGGAAGTCTGAAAGTTATACAGTACATTGAACTGACTCTTGATACATCTCGATTGTTATGAATCCTTAGAATTTTATCACCAGTGAAACCCCCTCATTCTTTGAATACTTCAGCAATTCTTTGGGTAAAAAATTCCTTTGCTTTGTCTTTGTCTTGATTTTCTGTAGTGAAACCATAAACATGAATCAATGGAAGTCCTTGGCCTTTATCTATTCCTTTTGGTTTATCATCTCTAATCCAGACATCAGGATTAGCATCCTTGAAAACTCCAATAAATGCATCAAGGAACTCTACTGCATCCATTGGAAGATTCATGTAGACATGATCAAAATGCAGGAAAGACCTATCCTTAAAAGGTGTGATAATCTCTGTCTCTGGGACCAACTTTGCTTCCTCTTCTTTCTGATAAGGATTCTTTCTCTTCTTCATACTTTTTGAATCCACAGATTCTTTCTTTTCCTCTTCTTTGTTAAGAACATCTTTATTGTTTGACTCTTGAACGCAATGCTTAGCAAACTCTCTTCCATCCATTCAGAAGGGAAGAACAAAATCTGCTACCTTGTTTTGAACAATGTTTCGCCTTAAATAATGATAACAGTCAGGATTGAGATCATTTGCTAAGACTTTAATTCCTTTCTCCTTGGCTGCTCTGATCGAGAGAGGCCCAATACCACAGAACATATCACAAACGACATCGCCTGGCTTGAAGAACTCTTCTATAACTCTTGATCTTTCTTGGCTGAGTCTTGAGCACCAATAAACTTTAGAGATGTCAACATCGAATTTGATGCCATCTTCGTTTTGTGTTGTTCCAAATGTTTCCTCTCCTGCAAGGACTTCGAAGTTAAATGTCCGATAAGTATTTTCTATATGCCCTACCTTAGTCAGAACAGTCTTGATTCCATGACTTTTATCCAAGAAGATCTGCCCAATGTCATATTTATATGGCATTTGTTCCTCGTTAAGGTTCATATGGGCAATATGGCCAACAGACTCGAATCCAGTAGGAATGATAACATCTTTGGGAAGGACCTTCTCAAGTGCCTCATAGCTTGTCATATTGTCATATCCAATACTTAATTGTTTTTCTTCGATAAGGATTTCTTTTTCTTTGAGGAACTTTTGCAGATCTTCAGGAAGCGAATCTGTATCAGTCCCAAATACTTTGTCAAGTAGTAATAATTTCTGTGTTTTATCGTCTTTAATAGAGACTACATTTCTTACAGCAGGCATTTTGAGTAATAAAGCTTTGAATTTCCTTTGAAAGTCTCCAATTAATTTGATAGGGACAGCAGCAGAGAGTATTTTTATATTTGAGCTAAAAATTGATTTATCTAGTAAAGATTTTGAAATGAACCTCTCCATTTTCGGTTGTTCAAAAGGAATTATATATTTTAGACCAATAAATTTCAAAGAAAAGGGGTTTTGGGGTTTTGGGGTTTTGGGGTTTTGGGG